GAAGAATAGCAAGAGAGGCAGGAGAGAGATGGCGCAACATCTCATAATGAACATCATCAGGTCCGACCGATGAAGTGCAAGTTTGAGTTCCACCACTGTAAAGGGGCGATTATAAGCATAGAGACGATCGGCCCGAAAGGAAAGAGGTGATCTCTCTGCCCAAGAAGGCAGGGGGAAGAAACAGTAGTGCTAGAAGCACGAGAAAAGCTTTGGCTGAGAGCATCAGCAATGCTCTGGACATCAGCAACTTCCTGGCCATTGGAGAGAAAGATGGAAAGGGGATGGGAAGCATACATCCCAGTGACTTTCCAAATCTTGTCCCATACAGTTTTGGAACTGGTGGTAGAAGAGAAGCTAGTAGTGAACTTAATCCAAGACTCCTTTTGGCTTTGACGTCGAACCTGCCGAGCATGGGCATGGGTCCGCTGATAAACAATGCGGTTAGAAAGAGTGGAATACCGTTGGAAGGTATCCCAGGCCCATTTTTGAGCCTTCTGTGCCTCCTGGCAGGCATGACTCCACCGTGGACGAGGATACCATGGAAAATGTGTCGAGGTCTTAGGAATAGAATAAACAGCCGCCTGGACAATACAGTCAGTCACTGCCACCACACAAATGTCTACTGATGGCAGACAGACGAAGGCAGGATCAAGTTCAGAGAGAGAGGTGAAAGATGGCCAGTCAGCCTGGTCCAGCTTCCACCGTGTCACTCGGGTTGGGTGGCATAGACCATGACCAACCTCTCTCAGTATTATAGGAAAATGATCACTGCCTCGTGGATCACTGTCAACCATCCAAGAAAAGCGAGTGAAAAGTGCAGGGGAGCAAATCAAGAGATCAATAGCAGTAAAAGACTGACTAGGTGCATGAAAATAAGTATATATATTCCAGTATTGAAGAGAGAAAGGTTGTGATCCGAGAGCATATGCTCTATGGAACGACCCCTTCCATTAATATCAGCACAACCCCAGAGGGGGTTGTGTCCATTTAAGTCTCCCAGAAGTAAAAAGGGAGGTGGCAACTGCTCAACAAGAGCATCAAGGTCCGATTGATCATAATTCTCCCCAGGAAACA